CACACATTCTTCGTCCCTCCCTCACCGTTCACCCCTCTCCTGTGCCCTGTCGCACACCACTAACCCCGCCCCTCCCCCGGTCCCACAGAGCCGTCCTGCGGTCAGCGAGGAGCCGTCTCCGTCACCGGCGCGGCCCGACGACTGGCTCAACTCTCTGAACAGCGGCAGCGGCACGCCGGCCGGCCGCTCGGACTCGGCGCACGGCTCCACACCGGAGCCAGAGTGGCACGCGCCCACTCCCGCAGAGGATACCTGGCGCAGCGACCCGTTCGACTCTGAATGGGCGCAGATCGCCGAGCGTAACAACCGCGCCAATAAGGCGACCAATCCGTTTATTGGAGGGGGCCCGGTGAAGACGTTCGAAGTGCACATGTAGGACCAGTGCCATGGCGCGGATGGAGTTGGGGAGGGATACAACGGCGGCAGCTGATAGAACAAGCGACCACCCACCGGCGGTGGTCTGTGTGGACTCGTGTGTGGACTCTGTGGACTCTGTGTGGACTCGGGCTAGGATTAGTGGCCGCGCGGATCACGGTGCGGACCGCCGGCGCTGCGCGCAGCTACCGGCATGCCTATGGTGGTAGACATGTGATACTGCCCGAAAGGACGGGCGCCGCGCCCGGTCGCATTTTATACGCCTTTTCTCGCGTGTCGCCCCGTCGCGAACTAACCGCCTTCATTGACCAAATCTACGTCTTAACATTCCAGAATTACCTTAGGACGATTGCCTTGTTGATCGGTGAGCGTTGTTGGGTGTGAGTGCGAGGTTTACTGAATGACTGCGGTATTTCGATGAGATGTGCGGCGCGCGAGTGCGCCCGTCTCTGTGTCTATGTGCGTGACTGTAACAGTGCTGGGCGGACGTCCCATGCACTGGCCGGTGGCGGCAGCAGAAGCCGATATTCCAGCGTCCCGGTCCGCGGCCAAGGACCGATCGGTCGCTGCTCAACGGCACTTCAGCTCTGGAGAACGCCGCAGGCGACTGCAGCGCCCCTGGCGGGTGACTGAGAAACTATGACGCCGAGTCGACTGACAGGTGGCAGCACAGTCGCCCGGCTTCCTGGCATATTCCGCTCGCTTGGAGATGTTATGCCGCGCCAACGCCGGCAGCTGTATCACTCAAATGCAGACGTTTGCATTATATATGTGGCAGCTAGATGTAGAAAACGTGCAGAATAAAATACCGCTATTTTAGCTGAAGTTTAGAAGGTCACGGGAATTACGAAAAAAGGTGGGTGTAAAAAAGACGGGGCACACATCTCGAGAGCGCAAACCCGTCACCATAATCACCGCAAGTGAGAATCTTTAAAAACAATAATTTACCTGTTCAGCCAAAATATATATTCATCTGATCACAGTACATCCCAACATACCAGGCGGCATGCGTACATAATTACTAGCAAAGTGACACCATTGCCCTGAACAGTGCAGCAACGAAGCGGAATCGTGCATGTGATGGCAAGCGGGTGACCCAAAACGCTGCCAAAGACAAAAACCTCCATCAAAGCCGGTGGAAAGCCCCTGATCCTGGCTAACATAACCTACAATTATTGCGTAACGGTTCATGTGCAGATATACCCCGTCACAAGGCTTGCAGCGCTTGGTGATAAACGGTAGGTAGGTAAACAATCGGCAATGCTTTTACAAAATGTACGCGAAGTCATGCATCATTTGCTGAGCATGTCAAACCGCTCACGAAACTTTCGTTGCAGATATCACTATAGGAAGCTAGGGTGCCACAATATCACAACCATCAGAATTCAGAAAACATATTCGCGTGATTTCCCAAGCACTAAGTAAGGAAGCTCGCGTATAACCAGGGAAAGTCTCGATGGGTCGCCCATTCGATTGCGATACGCACTTTTCAACTTCGCCACATTTAAGCGTACTCCTGCAAACCGACAACCCACTGTCTGACCTGTCTGACTTGGCTGAGTTAGCTCAGTTGATTGCTCTTACGGTGAGGTAACTCTCCATCAATTAATAAATACGTAGCCCATGGATAAGTGGGATTTGTCATAAACAAGGCACCACGCCAATCGGTCATGGGAAGTCCCCTGGAACAAGCAATGATCAGCCACCACACCCCATGGAATAACCACACCAGCAAGACGCACACACGTCTGATGATACTGCTTAGCAGTTATCATCGCCGCCTTTCCAAGAGTCACAATCCCATCACCCACACCATCATATCCTGAAGTCGCCCTGAACACCTTTAACATTCTCAGCTTGTCTGTGTCTGAGGGCTACTTAGCAACTTTTAGAACACCTCGAAGTCTCCCAAAGTCAGCATGTCCTGCCACTCGTGCAGCCACTGGGAAAACAACATTGATGCTCTCACAGTCAGTCAGCAGTCAGCCGCTTTTACGGTCGAACGCTTTCCTGCGGTTAGCGCAGCCACTTGCAGAACACCTTGGACGTTCTCTCAGTCAGCATGCCCTGAGGCTAGTGCAGCCACTTGGAGAACACCTTGGACGCTGCGTGTTTGGCAGCACTGATGGTACCATGTCCCGGCGGAGGCCGGGCCGCGCGTGCCTCGAACTGTAGCGCGGCTGCCTCAGACTGCATCCCTGCGTCTCGGAGCTGGCTGGCCGCTGTCGCCACGTCTCCACCCGAGTCTAACAGGTGTGCCACGGCCGGCCCGTACAAAGACGTGCCGACCAGTAGGGGAAGAGCGCCGGCAGACAGCAGAGAGTCCAGGACAGACTCAGAGAGAGGCCAGGGTCGGGCCGCGGTCGGTTCACTGTGGTCGGAGGGGGTGGCTGCCGGGTCGGGCGGAGGGGCGCGAGCAGCGTCAATCACAACCCGCTCAGCCCGCTCGATGGCTTGCCGTCGGAGATCTGTATCAATGGAGAGTAGCGCGGTGTGTAGCGCCGCCTCGCCCGCGCCAGCCTCCGCCAGCAGTTCTGCCAGGCGACCGTGCGCGGGGGCCGGTAGCGCTGCCGTACCCGCGTGCTCCGCAGCGGCAGCCACGACCAGGCCACGACCCGCCTCACCCGGGTCCAACCTCAGAGCGCGCCCACAGATCACACAGAGAGGGCTGGTGGCCGGATCGGCAGCCACCGAGTCTGGAAACACCGGCCAGCGGCGCAGGACGCCCAGCAACACACTCAGACGGTCCACGGAGTCGGCCTCCGCCACCAGCCGCTGAAGGAGAGCGGCGCGGCCGGCGGCGTCCCGCGTGTCCGCTGCGGACAGAGGGGTGTCCGGCAGCGCGGCCACCGTGTCCGCGTGAACCAGCGCCGGAAACTGTCCGCGGTCTACTGGGAAGTGTTTGGTCAGCAGACGGGCGGCCTTCACACGGCGACCGGCGTCCACCTGGCGGGGAAATGGGGAAGCTCAGACACAGCGAAAACACCCAAAACGGGAGAATACAGAACGGCAGAACACCGCCGATGAGCTACACAAAGCGTCATCAACGATAACTCAAATACAAGGTATTCATCTACATATTTTAATGAGCGATCAACCATGGGAGCATGAACAATCGTAGAGACATCTCATGATATTACAGTTGCGATGCTGCAGCACGCAGGCAGCTCGGCACTGCCAAGGCACTAACCCTTAACCACCTGCCCTCTCAACTCTCACCTCGGTATCATCGCACAGCTGCCTGAACTCCTCCACCACCTGATCTGCCGTCAGTCCCTCTCCGTCCTCCTCAATATACCGCCTCAGCTGGAGCAGCACCGCCGACAGCGCGCGCAGGTCACACGTATCCTTCCTGCCACGCAGCGCCGCCAGGGTCTCCTGTAGCACGCTCAGCAGGACCTCATGCACTGGCGCCACCTCGTCCAGTGGGAATACATTCATAATTCGGCGTATGGCCGATAGGTGGCAGCCCTCGACCACCATCTGGGTACGGAGAGCTGCCAGGCGGGTCGACTCGCCCCGGGTTTGGTCGAATAGCCGAGCGAACCTGCCGGGAAGAAGGGAAAGGGGTTGAGCTGATGTACCACATGAGCGCAGTTTCGATGTGCTATCAGGGCAACGATCAAACACAACCTCACAGAGCAAAGACTGATTGCCAAAAAAGTAGTTTTTGGAAAATGAAGTGCCAGCACAGAAGAATTTCTTTGCGGTTTGCAGTTAGAGGACTTGTAAACTGAGCGTTTGCTGGTAAAATGAGCCATTGAAAATTCAGCAATACATGAAGCACGAAGCTGAGAAGCACCAGGCTGACCTGAAGATTATACGCTGATGATGCAAGCACGCTGATTGCTGAATGAACACGCATGTCACGAAATCATCACTCCGCACATTTTGGGCGAGTCATCAGATAAAACTAGGCGATTGCGGTTAGTTCAGCACATGATATCATGATCATGTGAGCACCGAGGATGACCTTTGAGACCACCTATCAAATTAAACTCAGCGATTGCGGTAGATGCGCCACGGTGCGCCATCGCCAGGCATATCAAGGCTGAGGGACCGTCAGGTAACTGCCTGTCAAATTCTGTTCACAGGACGCTAAAGGATTTACGTCTCAGATAAACAATTCCATGAACAGCCGAACCGTCAAGTGCTCCAAATCATACTTGTCAAGCAGCGCTGTCGCTCGCTAAGTCTCACACTTCAGAGTGGATACATATATTCCAAGAACAACTTTTGCTAGAATCTCCTAAGCTCCATAACCCTGTTCACCCTTCACAACACAAATCCAATCCAAGGAAGGAGAATAAAAGGCTCATCTCGCCTTTATCACTCTTGAGTGCTGTACTCGATATTGTCAATCACCGGAGCCTATTCACTAGGGCAGTTCCCAGAACCCTCTATAAGTCTATAGAATACAGATCAGATCGGTCACCAAGCGAGCGCTGATCGTCCCTGGGAGCCACCGTCGAATATTGGACACTGGCGCATATTGGACATTGACCGTCAGTGGTGCAACATCAGTCGGAAGAGGGAGGGGAGGGATGGTGTATCAGTGCGTCACCAGGGGGTAGGGACACGCAGCGACGGGGAGGGGTCAGGAGGGAGGGGGGGGGGAGATCCGACCGGCAGCTGATAGTCGGGGTTTGTCACAAAAGTACAGAGCACTTCAGAGGTCGGAGCGTTACCGCCGTTCTGATCGAGATAATTCGTGTGGGGTCCATGAGGTCACTACAGAAGCCGACCACCGAAACGGCGAGGCTTAGGAGGAGAATGTAGCCACGCAACTGATCACAAATTATCAACAACTGGCTTGAATTACCGAAATTAATATCGAAGCAGCTTCAACTATATCTTCAAGCTAAAAAGTTCATTTCTTTTTTGAATAAATGTACGGCCAAAGCTGTAGACATTTTAACCAATTTGGGCTTAACATGACTATCATAAAAGCATGGCGATAGCCTAAAGTTTTAAGCACAAATTATGAAACTCATCAGACATTGATTTGAAACATCACCCGATATCCGGCATTTCTTACCACCCTTGACCTTCTTGCATCAAGTAACGCCTCTTCTCTTCTGTCAGCATGAATTACGCTCCCTGACGACAGGTACTCCTTGACGAAAAGGTAAAACATTGCCAACGTCGCCGCTTGACTCAATAAAAAACATTACCCTAACCGAGGATAGACCATTCCTTGACCATACAAAGATCCTGTCCTAACCGTGGATAGGCCCTTTGCTGAAACTGGATAAACCCCTGGGCCCTGACCACAGGTAGACCCTTTCCTCACCATGGATAGATCCTCCCCTGATCACTGCCCTGACAGTGGAAAGGCCCTCCCCTAACCATGGGTAGCCTCCTCATCCCCCCGGCCCTGACCGTGCCGAGAGTCACTGACTGACTGTCACCGCCGCCCCTCCCCATCACGCAGCCGGCACTCAGATAAGAGCCGTGCTGGTCGGTCGCCGACCGCGGCGTCTCAGTGTCCTGTGGTCAGAGTCACCATGAGGTCCCTCCTCCTGCTGCTGCTAATCGCCCTGAGCGCGGCGGCCACCGAGACTGTCGGCGGTACCGCTGGGGCTTCCCCCGGCGCTGGAGAAGCCTCCTCTGCCGCAGCAGGAGCCTCGGAGGAGTCCAGCGATGCGCCCTACATGGTAGTCTGCTACTACGGTAGCTGGGCGGTGTACCGCTGGGGAGACGGACAGGTAGACGTGGAGGATATCGACCCCCTGCTCTGCACCCATCTCATCTACACCTTCGCCGGACTGGACGCCAGAACCCACGAGATCATCTCACTGGATGAGTACAATGATTTCTATGAGAACTGGGGTCGTGGAGCGTACGAGCGCTTCGTCGGACTGAAGAGGCGCAACCCCTCGCTGAAGACCCTGCTGGCCATCGGTGGATGGAATGAAGGATCGGAGAAGTATTCTGAAATGGCCGCTGTTCCCGAGCATCGCAAGATCTTCGTGAAGAGTTGCGTCGAGTTCCTAAATCGGTTCGGCTTCGACGGCCTTGATCTCGACTGGGAGTATCCCTCCCAGCGCGGTGGAAACAACCAGACCGACCGCGAAAACTTCAGCCACTTGGTGCGCGAGCTGAGCGACGCCTTCATCCCGGAGAGTCTGCTTCTGACAGCGGCAGTGTCTGGCTCGAAGGCCATCATCGACGAGGGCTACAGCATGGCGGCGCTGGCCGAGTATCTCGACATCCTCAACGTGATGTCGTACGACTACCACGGTCCGTGGGACCCGTTCACCGGTCATGTCGCCCCGATGTACATCTCGCCGCTGGACCAGGAGCATGGCGATGGATACGAGTACTACTCTGTCAACTACACGATTCATCACTTCCTGGCCGGCGGAGTGCCTGCACGTAAGATCGCTCTCGGTCTGCCTATCTACGGTCAGGGTTTCACGCTGTCCGACCCGACTCAGAGCGGCCTGTATGCTCCGGCCCCGCAGCCCATGAGCGCCTGTCGCTACACGGGAACCTCCGGCTTCTGTGGGTTCGCAGAGATCTGCGTGATGCTGCAGGACGGAGGCTGGACCACGGTGACGGACCCCGATCAGCACGCCGTCTACAGCTACAAGGGTGACGTCTGGGTGGGCTACGACGACCTGACCTCTGTCACGCGTAAGGCGAGTCTGGTGCGTGAGCTAGGTCTGGGCGGCGCCATGGTCTGGAGTGTCGAGACCGATGATCTGCATGGGCTGTGCAACATGGGAGCCAAGTATCCCTTCATGACGGCTCTCTGGACCAACCTCAACGGTGACATTCCGAACCCGCCTACCCTGCCCCCGCCCACCACGGGTAACCCCACCACCACCCGGCCCACCACTGCCGCCCCCACTCCTGCCCCTACCGCCGCCCCTACCGCCGCCCCCACTACCGCCCCCACCGCCGCTCCCACCGATAGCCCGACCACCAGTGAGCCGACGCACATCTGTCAGCACCAGGGCCTGAATCCCGACCCAACGAAGCAGTGTTCGTCCATCTTCTACGAGTGTGAAGATGTGGGCGGCATGTGGCGAGTAACAGAGATGGAGTGCGCCGGGGGTCTGGTGTTTGATACCGTCAACAGCGCCTGCGCCTGGCCACAGCTCGTCGAGGGCTGTCACTGAACGCGACGCGGGGTGCGCTGTTTTGAGTTCAATGACATAATGAGTGTGTAAATAAGTTATATGTGAGACGAAAATCTAACAATGAATTTTAGAAGATAGGTATCACTTTTTGTCGAGAGATGTGGTAGAAGATCAGAACGATAAAAAATGGCGAACAATCATTGGTAGCTGAAATCGTCGCAGCTCAAAGCATCATGTGTTGCATGTGTGCCGACTGAAATACATTGCTTATTTTTATCATTGCTCCGTGTCGCTTATGAAATAAATGGATGGTTACAAGACATGACGCGGCAAAATGCTAAAACAAAGGGGACGCGGTAGATGCCCCCTTCATCAACACAGCAATCTCGAGTTTCAAACTACCTTGGTGAAGAGGTCTGGCAAATATTTAACTTCATTACACCCTAGCCTCAGGTCGTTGCCATACTGTCCCCATCTGACATACTAGAGTCCATATAGCACCGTCTAATCACACATCCCATTTCCACCCAACGACTCACCTGTAGACGTCATCGTCGGCCGACTCCAGCAGCTCAGTGTACGAGTCCCACTCCAGGTACTCCATGTGCTCCATCCACCCGTCCAGCCTCTCCGTCACCGGAGTCCAGTCCTCTTCTGGACTCCTCTCACCCGCCCTCTCCTTCAGAGAGGCAGCCACCTCCTGCCGCGCTGCCAGTGACATTTTCAGCGCCGAGTCACTGAAGAGCAGGCGCGCCGCACAGCGCTCAAAGTCAGCCGGCGCCAGGAAGTCCAGTCTCCGCCGCTGGGCCTCCAGGGTTTGTAGGCGCGGCGCGGCGGCTCGCTCGGCGGCTGATGCGATCCACGCAGCGGCCACGGCAGAGCCGGTGAGAGCCGCGTTGCCGAGACGCGGCGCGAGGTCCTCGAGTGAGTCCACGTTTTCGGCAGAGACCGCGGAGGCGAGCTCAGCGGCCAACTGGTCTCCGTCGGCTTTCAGTAGTCGGTCTAAGTCAGCTCCCGTGCCGCGGAGCAGATGTAACAGGGTGACCCGAGCCGTTACTTCATCAGTAGCGGACGGGTCAGCGCGAACCAGTAGTGTAAGACAGCTCAGCAGTCGTTCGTGGTCTGTGCCGGCCAGTGATGGAAGTACACGCTCGCGCAGAGCGGTCGCCAGTGCCTCTGGTTCCTGTAATGCTTGTTCAGCCAGTTTCCGCCTCTTCAGTCGTTCAGGGACCTCATCAGCCGCCAGCTCTGGCGCCGAAAATAAGTAGACAATCTGTTCTCGAGCCATCTCGGCTGCCGGCACACCATAACGTTGCGCCAGCCGGTCGGCAGTCTCCAGAGCTGAATCCTCGTCTGTCATAGCCAAACCGAGAATCGTATCTCGCTGGTAGGCCGGCTCGGTGGCGAAGCGACTCACGTCTACACCGCGATCCAATCGCAGCAGCTGACGTGCCTGGCGGGCGTCCTCGAGTCTGTCGCAGAGCTGACTCAGCAGCTGCCGTAGCTCCGTCGTGTCCGCGCTGTCCCGCTCACCGCCCTCCAGGCCAGCTGTGATAAGCTCCTGTGGCGACGTTGTCAGAAGGTCCACCTCCCCGCGGCGTGCCGCCAGTCGCAGAGCCACGCAGTAGGCGGCGGCGCGGAGCGAGAGCTCAGCCGGCGGCCAGCTCTCACAGCAGGCGCGCAGATCGCTGTCCGGCAGCGTCAGACTCCAGGCTAGAGCCAGACCGGTGTCCTCAGCCAGAAGCAGCGGCAGCAGGGGCCGCAGTCTCTCCTCAGTTGGAGCCGCCGGCTGGCGCGACTCCACCGCCGCCTGAAGAGCCTCCAGTCGCACAGCCGCCAGCGCTAGTTCCAGCGCCAGAGGCGGCTGCGGCGCGGAGAAAGATCTATAGTCGACATCCATCGCGCTGTCGTGACATCCCGGCACTGTGTCGGCTAGGAAGGCAGGCGCGCCGGGCCGCAAGAGTGCCGCGTTGGCAGACACAGCGTCCCGGGAGCGGTCCGCGCGCTCACCCGGGGCCAGTCGCGACACAGTGCTGCGGAGGAGGTTCGCTGTGGCACTGCCGGCGTTCAGAAGGTCCGCCGGTAGCTGCCCGGCCACCAGAGCACGCGTGCCGTCCTGGGTAGCCTGTAGCACGGCACGAGTTCTCTCCGAGGTCGCCTGAAACACTGCGCGCGTGGTGCTAGCCGTAGCACGAACGATGTGGCCGGTCAGACCACGCGTGCTGCGCAACAGAGACACCGGATTGAAGTCAGGCTCGTCGGCCGGCGCGGCTAGCGGCTCCTCCGACGCTGGGGATGGAGCACTGCTCGGGAAGGCCTGTCCATCGCTCGGGGAAGCCTGTCCATCTCCTGGAGAGCGAGTCCCGACAGCAGTCTCTGGCTCCTCTCCGACGTCGCCCGTCGCCGCCTCCTCCCCTGGTGGGGGCTGTCGGTCACCCTCGGCCCCAAAGTACTCCTCACTGTCTATCTCATCCTGCGCCGACTTCTGTCCCGTCTCCTGCGCCGCCTCCTCACCCTCCCCGGACGGCCGGACTCCGTTCCTCTCTCCTCCGTTCTCCGCCCCTCTCCCTTCCTCCCATTCTGGACTGGAAGCTTTACTGGCTGAACTGTCCGGGGTGGTCGCCAGTTTTTCCAGTTTGACGCAGAGCTGAGCAGCCAGCAGCTGCTGCCGCAGCCGCAGAAGACGCTCCAGCTCGGCGGCGGGGCAGTGGAGTAGAGAGAACGAGAGCAGGGCCAGCCTGCCGAGAGAAAAAGGAACACAGTTAAATGAAGGAATGAATGCAGAAGGCCAGGGGGAAAGCAATACAGATATGGAGACACTGAGAATGCGTGCTAGATGGACGAGAAAAATGAAAATAACGGAGACGAAAACAAGACGAGGTAGCAATCAAAAAGCGTTTTAGTGTGACCGTTTTCGAATAGGATTTATTAACACCAACGATGGTAGTGGAGTATACGCAACCCCTCCTCGCTCGAACTCTGCGTAGCATGCTAATTTGTGTTCATCGTAAACAACCACTGACTGAAATGACGAAAAACGCTTTGCGAATAGTGTCGTTCGCTGCTTACATCAGCCTATCAAACCAAAAAGTAAAACAGACCCATAAATCTTTTAAGGACCCATGTCCTCTCGGAGTCTTGACACATCGAATATCTTTCGATGAAGACGGAGCAAAAAGCCAACTGCGTAATCTTGCGACCAGCGATAACATTGTAACTGCCCACACACTGTCAAGTACCTTAAATTCTCCGATTGTGTGCTTTTTGATAGTCGAAGTCGACTTGTCTGATAAGTGATCATGCGATTGAGGCAACAAAGTGCCTGCGAGCCCGGATTAAGGCTGACCCCTGATCAGGCGCACTTTGGAGGACATTCGGAATTCGCGGAAACAAAACTGGGCTATCAGGAGCATCATGTGCAAGGGCCACTCTAATCGCATCACACTGTGAAGTGTGGATGCACGCAAGGTCTAAATGCAACGGAGTGAAGGCGTAGCAACATCATTATGAACAATCTTCTAAGAATGGCCTGTTCCAATGCGAAGACAGCATGCAGCAGCGCTGAAATTTACAATAAAACGTTGCTATCGGCATGAAAACATCAACTAAAAAGAGCAAATAACAGTTCTTTGACTCCGGAAGGAGTGCCACCAGATTTAAAAGTGATGAATGACTGTGGATGACTCTTTCGCGACACCCAAATTGTTTTGCGCTTTGGTGGGACAAGCTCATTCGGTCTAAAACCACCGGCTGTCTGGTGGGAAGTGACAATGCATTAATTATGCTGCAACTGCACCAAGTTACAGTGCACTGCCACCTGACTGACCTATCGTCAAAGTTGCGGTAGCCGTCAAACTCAGCCACCTGACGGCACACGTCCCAGGCTGTAGTGTGTCCTCCATCCATCAGATGGCGGCAGGCTCGCGCGGCAGCAGCCGGGTCGCCGGCCGCAAGCGCTCGCTCAGCCGTCAGCTGCAGCAGCCGCCAGCTGTCCGGCACGTGCAGCAGCTCGGCCAGCTTCAGCAGCTCCTGGTCGTGGCTGAACACATACAGGGTCGGGTAGATGCGTCAGGAAATTAACGTGACTCAGGGACTCGGCGGGCGTCAGACAACGGAAAAAGACAGATTCAACCGTGACGGTCGAGTTTGCCACCATTAGCAAATATTGTCATGCGTTACACCGAGCCAAATAAACCATAAGACAACAAATATAAATGATGGATGCACCAAAGGCGCATCAAATAGTTCAACTATCCCTCAGACATCAAGCTATCGCCACATGCAACGCAGGCCATCTATTTTCCACCCCGCCTCCCACCCCGAACAGCAAAGTAACACCATAGTGTCTACCAGACCGCTCACACATGTCCCTTCTCCATCCCCTTCCCTATAACCCACCGGTAGGCGTCCGGTTTGGCGTCCAGACAGCGTTTCAGCAGGCTGAGCCGGTCGGCGGTGAGGCGCACCTGGACCGGCAGAAGGGTCACCCCGAACCGGACCAGGTAGTCGAGACTCTCCACCAGACCCAGCTCGCGGCGCACCGGCTCCGGAGGGTCGCGGATCAGCTGAAAATGGGGGGGGGGATAGGGTCATGAGTCAGCTGAAAACGAGGGTGGGAGGGTCACGGATCAGTTGTAACGCCGGAGGAACAGTCGTGGGTAACTAAAAACAGCGCACGGAGGATTATATATCAGCAGAAAGATGGTACAGGGAGAGTTATGAATCGACTGAAAACGGCGAAGGGATTGGTCACGTATCAATCAATGATAACAGGAAAAGGTACAGCTGGTTAGCCAAGATCAACAAACTCACATCCTTCTCCCCCCCCCCAAAAAAAAACAGGCATCTCCAATTTCCATTCTCCATTAAACCGACCTAAAATGTAACGCCATCCTCTCTGCATTCCCACTGACCTGTAGGCACTGTTTGGCCAGTTTGATGCCGGGGTCGGCCAGGTTCGCCGATCCGTCAAAGTACTCGCTGGCAGCTGTGACCACTAGCCTCACGGAGGCCTCGAAGGGCAGTCGGCGCAGGTATTCGTTGGTGACGTCCACTGGCGCGTCTGCGCGGGTCTCCAGTCGGGTCTCAGCCGCACGGATGTGCGCTGGGTTGGAGGAGGTGAGAAGAGCGAGCACGAAGATCTCCTGGCATGTCTGAGGACTCACCACCTGGGGGAGGGGGAGGGGGGGGGGGAGGACGAGCAGTCAGTAGACGGCGGCGGCAGCGGCATTCGTCAAAATTACTTCATCAGTGTAAATATAACATGACAAATCACACTGATGATCAAAAACCGAAACAATAAACAAACTTAAATGTCTGCAAATAAAATACCAAATGAGCAGCCACCAAGCCACAAGGTAATTATAGTAGTCAGACACATCACCATTTACCTGAGGTTGGCACACCTCTGACTCCTGCATACGGTACGAATATACTTTCAATCCAGGACGGCTAGTCTCCCAAGATACCCACCTGGAACACCTTCTGCTGCATCTCCAGCATATCATCCAGCAGTTTCCTCCAGTTCGGCTCGGTCGTCACACTCGTATCCCTCAGCTGGGTACGACACAGCCTCTCCAGCAGGGCGCGCACGCGCTCCTCACTATCCGCCACCTCTGCCAATTCTGCCACCGACAGCCGCTGTCCATGACTGGCCAGGAGCTCCACAGCAGCCAGCCGAGCCGCCAGTAGCTCCCGCGCCTGACGCTGCTCCGACCGCGGCGCCGCCGGCAGCGCAGCCACCATCCGCCGAGCCGCCGCCGCTGACTCCGGCTTTGGACAGGCGTACACGGCATCCAGAGCCAGAGCCGTGAGCTCGGCGGTGTCCGCGATCAGCGGACGAGGTTCGGGAGGTGACGAGAAGCGAACCAGAAGAGCCGGGAGAGTCAGATCCTCGCGGGCCAGTCGGAGGACGTACGAGCGCAGCAGGACGGCCGCTGAGCCGGGATCAGTCTCCTCGCGGCGTGATAGGTACGGCAGCAGTCGGCCGCGTAACTGGGAGACGAATGTGCTCTCCGTGGCTCCGGCCATCATCAGATCCACGACCCTCTCGGGCTTCATCTTGGCGAACGAGTCCAGAGTCACCTGGTGAATATCAGACGAAGGGGGAAGAAGTTAGGGCCATTGGCTGATAGTGGGGCGCAACAAGACCACAAAACAATTTTACAGCGGAACGGACTCGATTAAAAAAAGCTAACAGTTTGACAACATATACCAGAGATTCAAGAGCTGACAACAGTCACAACCTACCACTAACTACCTCACACAGCATCTGAAGTTAACCGTCAACATCAACAAATACAACTTCTCAACAACGGCAAAACGTAATAAAAAAACATAACAAAAAACTTGACATTGCTTACCACACTGTTCCCCCTACAGAACACCACATTATCGACTCACCAGTCACCAAATATACTTTCACCTACCTCCAAGTGCCCGGCATCATACACCAGCGTAGCCAGGGTGTCCAGATCATCCCTGAGAGGTTCCAGACCGGATACACCCCTCTCCCGGCCCAGCTGGACCAGGTCCAGACCGTGGCCCACCAGACCAGTTCGCGCCACAATGTCGCGCGCCCGGCCGGCGTACCAGGCGGACACCTGGTCGGCGGTGAGCTCGCGCGATGGCGTGGCGTAAGCGGGGCAGTCGGCTTCTGTGGGCCTGATGAGAAGGGTGGGGCGAGGGTTACAAAGGCTAACAGGGGTGCATGCTGACTTCCCTGGACCACTGACGATGAAAACAAGGCAATGTACGTAATTTGAAACACTCGTACCACTCTGAAGCATTGCGAAGCATCCACTCCTTCCAGACTGAGTGGTAGCCTGAACTTACGTACTACCTACAGCAAAGCAGAACTTTAACGTCACAGTTATCCTGTCATCCAGTAGAATCGTGCTAAAGCTAGCTCCACGGCTGTTCTCCATCAAAACACCACGGGTCCCATCGGTCTCCAATTGCCGTTTGTGGTCCACCTTACCGGTGTTTGGGCGACTCGTCGTCCAGTATCAGGCTGTCCACCCAGTCCGCGTCCTCCCACCGCTCAGTCTCCAGAGGTCGGACACGGTCGGCGCTATCCAGCTGAGGGGTGGAAAGAGGGGATATATAAGCATGGAGATAGGGATCCCGGGTCCTGCAATGTCCAGCTGAGGGGTAAAATAGTTGTCCGTGGAACAACACTACGGAGCCGGCAGCAGAAATTAGGACTGAAGACTGCAAAAAGGCAGATTCGCAGGGAAAGAGTAAACATCGAACACAGATAATATACAGGGTGTCCCATAAGTTCGTTCTCACCTAAATTTTACGTTTTTAGCCTCTCTTGCTTAAAAGCACGCTGAAATTGGTTCGTAACTGAGCTTACGTGGTTGCCATGGCTGGTAGAAATATGCTCCACAGTAGCTAATTTCTGTAGACAAAATAGTTTTTGCTATAGAGCCCGCTTCCTACAGAGACGGCTAACGCCGCAACATAGAGGTCTCCGATACGGGTACGTCTCAGTATTTAGTCAGCACGTGACCATTCGCGACGATTGAGGGTGATTGAGGCCTACCAGTCTGTAGCCAATGTCCATCGCTAACTGGACGCACAGTCAGCAAGTGACACCGATGATTTGTCGGGAGTCAGTCACTGCAAGTTTATCCTCTTTCCAGTCAGCCCTCAGGAGTGAGCCAAGTGGCCAAAACTGTGTGGCGCCAAAGTGGCCATCAAAAAAGTCAAAGGGTTACAAAGTTGGTAAGCAGACTTTTCAGGATGGATTACCAGCTGTCTAAGAGTGTTCTTTCGGGGTACATAACTCAAGGTGACTTAAGCTTTGCTTACCGGAGGGCTCAAAACAGTCAAAAACGTCTTAAAATGGCCAAACATGAGTTTCGTTATGCCTGAGGCTAAACAAAACAGAGGGCTGATGACATCAACCAGGTCATCAGGACTAACTAGTCCACGTTCGAAAGGAAACACCCGTCCAAACCCGAAAACAACCCCATAAGGGCGAAGGAGGAGGCCTCCGTTTCGTCCCGTTATGTTCCTATGCAAAAGGTCAGGGTCACTGTGTTGTGGGATTATAGGCGTTCTGGAGTTGACCAAGTTGCAAGTGGCAACCCAGAAACAGTTTTGGGAAGCAGAATGCTTTCCCAAGAACATCTAGGAGGAGTTTCAGCCCTCAAGCTGAACTCGAACCGCGAGTATGGACATATTTATAGAGGAGAAAATGGCATCCGGGAGGTCGTAGGCCCATCTTCAGGCAAGACAGTGCATCAGTGCAGAGGTCAAGCAAAGCTTAAAAGCGGTGCAAGGAGACTGTGACAGGCATTTGTGGCAAGATCACATGCCAGGCACCTCATTGGATCAAAATTTCATAAAAATTTGTTGGTTATGCTGAAATTGAGGCTCGTCGAAGCGTAGCGCTGTTCCAGCCTCGAGGAGCTCACGGCGCATGTCAAGTCAGTCTGGGTTAACTTTAAGCCTACTATGCAGCCAAACATGCCGGTTGGCATGCTGTAGCATGTATTCATGTGTTTGCCTATTAAATGAGGAGCATATTGAGGGGTCATAAATATATTAAAACGCAATGTACTCTGTTTCACATGCAAACATAATGTGAGAACGAACTTATGGGACACCCTGTATATCACCGCAAGCTTCTGGAATCCAGCCAAGTGCTCTCGCTCAGCTAAATCTTGTAACACGTCATCTAAATCTCGATCCTCAGCCCAGTTTCCATCCACCTTCTTCAATCCCCTCTCCGTACCTCGGGCAGCAGAGGCGCGTAGAGTGCCGGCTCCGTGGTCTCCGGTATGTGATAGAGCAGCAGCAGTCGGTGGGACGCCAGCTGGCTGCCATGGTAACGCAGCATCACCTGCAGGGCCTCCCAGTCAGAGTCGTGAGCAAACTCCAGCGCCGCCTCCAGTGCCGTCCTGACGTGCAAGCGAGATATCATTGTAACCGATCAACACGTCGTGTCAAGTACATCACGCAACCCAACGACAGAGATCTTGTAGATAATGTGATCATAATAACTGAACAAAAGTCAGTTCATCAATCGACAGATGGCTGGCATGTATATGATATTCCCAAAGAACAATTTTCACAATTCATACCAAGCTTTAGCAAGTGAGCAGCTCTGAATGGTACTTTTTTAGCCTTTCGTGAGATAGCCATTCTCTTGCGCCAATCACACCCACCTATCCCTGAAGCGTCGATACTCGGCGGGATCATACGGTCTCCCAGCGCCTTCCACCAGGCGTAGATAGGTCTTGAGCCGCTCGCGGTACCCCAGCAGGCGGCGGCGGTACTCCACCACCTGTCTCTGATCACCCGTCAACTGCGCGGCTCCCAGCTGAGCCAGCAGCTGCCGGCGCGCCGCCCGCTCCCGGAGCGCCGCCTGCTCGGAAGGCAGCTCCTCGTAGCAGCGCCGTGGGTCACACGGGTGGAACTGAACGTCACTGGGGTCACCGGCAGCCAGCACTGCCTCAAAGTCAGTCCCGCGCAGGCCGTGCTCGAGTAGCAGGTGGGCCGCCGCCGGGTCGGTAGGTACGCGAGACACGCATTCAGTGAGCACCAGAGAGCGCCGCGTGATACGGCCCAGGTAGTCACGGATCGAGTCGGCGCACACGTCAGACTTCTGCCATTGTTTCAGAAACACCTGCAGAAGGAGCATACAGGCATCAGCGCACTTGCGTCATGCCACATTAAATACATACATCCAAATTCCAAGCGAGACAAAACTTGAGGGACCTGTGGGATCAGTGATTGAGCCATCTTTCAGCAATGGTGATGATGCCGGTGGCGATGCTGATAAAAGTTAGGCGTGACGACCTTGATTTGGAGCCTCGTGAATTACTCTGATAATTTAGCAACCATCTTAGAGGAGGCCTGCTATGTCAGCAATCAGAGAGACAGAGTTTCCGGACAGTTCAAATCATCATCCGACCACATTCGGTCCCCTGGTGTTAACCGGTTCTTACCAGGTCACTATCGAGCTTGTACGCCTCTGCCAGCATAAGCGCCTCTCCATACTCCCCCAGCTCTATCTTCCTGGCATACAGCTGTTGCGGTGTGGTACTACGTAGACATGTGAGACGGTACAGTGTATGGCTGAGGCGGGCACGGCGGCGGGCCGGCTCAAAACGCTCAGAGTCGGTTAGCCAGTGGAGACCCGACCTGTAGGGGCAAAGGAAAGGGGAGTCATTCAACTAAAGAAGGCTTAGAGTGTACTCATGCCAGCGGAAAGCCGATATTCTGCGTGGACAGGGCAAGTTGAGTCTCATAGAAAACCATCACAGAGTAAAATGGACAGTCAAAATATGTACCACTTTATGAGAATTATCTGTGGAATCTATTATCATTATACTACCTGAAAGCACATGTCTGGAAACTGCCTATCAACACATCATTTTCATTTTTCATTTTCCATCTCCACAGCATGTTTTTTTCCCACGAAATCACTTCTACCCCCATTAGCTACTAACTAGCGCCTCAAGTAACACTCAAGTTAGCAGCCTCTAAAGCAGCACCATGACTATCCACGCCGCCCAAACTCACGCATCACCCACCTGACGCCGTCCAGCAGCCTCCGCGGCACTCCTGGCGTCGGCTCCTCCTCCTCCTCCCCATCCTCCTCCTCATCGGTCGTCCTCCCACTCTCTGCCCGCTTCCTCGCCGACTCTGTCCTCCTCTCACACTCCAACACCAGACACGCCTGTCCGGCGCCTGCCGCGCGGCCCGCGCTCACCCGCGGAGCGCCGCTGAAAAACTCTGGACTCTCGCCCAGGAGGTTTTCTAGTGAGTCCGCATCACTCACAGTCACCGCGCCATTTCTGCGCGCCAGAATGGCCGCGGCGTCTGTCCACCAGGCGATGGCGGCGGGGCGGGCGGCACCGGCGCCCAGCGCGCGCAGCCGCCGCTGTCGGCGGGCGGTGGGTAGCCGCAGTAGCTCCGGGCTGATGGCCTCGTGGCCCGCCTGCGACTCCAGCGGCCAGTGTGACTGTTTGCGGAGAGAGGGGAACTCCCAGATGGTGAGAGCGCCAGAGCGGTGCGCAGAGAGGAGGCGGCGCGAGCTGGGGCAGAGCGAGAGGGCGATCACCGGGTCCCAGGTGGTGCGGCTGCGCCTCCACGGCAGCCACAGCAGTGACGGCGACGACTCCTTCTCCTGCGGGAAACAGAAATACACGGTTTATTCTCGGGTGGTACCACAGAACTGCCCCAAGAACGAGTTCAATGATAGCATGATATTAATAAGAACTTGCCCACTTCGTCATTCACTCCCCTTGTTCGTTCTGACAGAGCTGTAGTTTTACCAGTCTGTTCCCGCTCTGACAGAGCTGTGGGCTGCGTTTCCCCGACTTGTTCACCCCGCCAGAGCTGCCAATTTTACCAGCCTGGTTGAGAAAAACAGGCAGTTTTTCTCACCTGTTCACTCTGGCATAGCTGCAGGTGGGGCGGCCCGTGCACCAGCCTCCAGCAGGTGATGCCCTCGCAGCTGCCCAGACCCTGGAGCCTCTCACAGCCCACCTGGGAGCTCTCCCCGGCCACCACTAGCAGACGACGCTGCTCGTCATAGGTGGCGCTGCTGATACCGTGCGGGTACACCTGCACCGACAGAGCCAGGTTGAAATTTAACGGGGAGCGAGTAGCGGGCGACGGCCGGCAAACCACTGGGTTAAATTATAGCGAGGGACAAGATCACGCGTAGACATATATCGATCATGCATCGTTTGAAACCAAAGTTTTTTTTCATTTTTCTCTCACAGCACTAAAAGCTGTGCGTGGTATCATCGGAAAATAAAACTGGTTTATGTAATTACGATTAGCACCGTAAAAAATTATCATAACTACTAATTAAGATATTAAGAACGTGTTGCTGCTAGTGCGTTTTTAACAGAAGCAAGTCCAACAGCTAGAAATATAGCGGCAGCGTTCGAAGATTGCCCGCCTCTCTTATCGTCCGTCGCCGCCACTTACCCCAAGCGAGGCGGTGAACATGTGCTGGTATCCCTCCGTGTGTGACAGGTGGTATCCGGACACCTCTCCGTTATACCCCACCACCAGCAGCAGCGCCTGCCATCCGGGGGTGCGTGGCGGAGCCCACACCAGCTCGGTGACGGGCGCTCCGACCGCGCGGCCGTACTCAGTTGGGTAGATGACGCAGATCGTGTTCAGCGTGTCATCCAGCACGTCCACAGCTCCCGAACTGGCGGCGACGGCCAGCAGCGGCGGCGGAGGCTCGCCGTCCGGCTCCGCCGCCGAGAGACCGGCCGGTGGAGGCGACCAGCGCAGCCGGCGACGCTGCGGCTCGGCGTCCGCCACCAGCTCCGCACAGGCCACGATCGAGGTGAAGTTGTCGCGAGCGGAGCGGACCTCCACGGCGTCATCTCGTAAAACAGCGAGCAGCTGTCCGTCAGGGCTAAGGTCCAGGTGCCAGGCCGGCTGGCATCGCGCCAGCTCTGAGACAGCCTCTGGCAGGGTCGCCGCTGCCGGTGTCCACAGGCTGGACGCCCACTGGCGCAGACTGGGCGCTGGTGTGCGCTCCTGACTCTCTAGGCGCGGCTCGAGATGCCACTCACAGAACACCAGCAGCTCGTACAGGATCGTGCCAGGCCGTGGCTCAGTGAAGGTACCGTCTTCTTCTTCATTCTCTTCTGGCACTGACTCCAGTGGTGCTGGGTCCGGCTCTGCTTCCCATTCAGTTGGACCATCTCCAATAGTCATGGTGTGATCAAGGGAGCTGGAACAGGCAGATCGCTGTTAAGTGTTAACTGATTGCTGAGCTGACTGCAACACAGATATTCCGTGTTTTCTAATGCAAATTAATAGAGTTAACATAATGATCTTGGAATATTGTAGGAATTGGTGGCCAATATTTTCTAGAAAAGCACTGTTAGATCAAAGAATTAGAAAACCAATGGTAGGTAGATGCTATGGGGTTTGGGGCCCTGAGGGAGGGGCTTATATAGCTTAGGGGAGGGGGAAGAGGAAGAATAAAAAATACATTTGGCAGCCACATGTGACATGCATGGATCTGCAACTTCCTTATAAAGTTGATAATCTCATCTTTCATTGGAAGAAGTGAGCACATCATTGGTAAGCAGCTAAATGGTAGCGTGAGCGTCCACTCACTTTCCTATTCAAAAGCACAGAGTACAAAGCACAGACACCTTGACTATACCTTTGTGACACCTTGTCTATACCTTTGAAGACCGCTGGGTGGGTTCTATTCCAGCTCAAGCCAAAGGCCCATAGCCTGAATTGGTAGTCATAAAGCAGGCTTCACACTTTCATTTTTGCAACCAAGGAAAGGTTCTATACCCAGATATGTAGGTTGTAGGTTTGTAGGTTGTAACGGTATAAGCAAGCCTGGCGTCCCAGGAAGCTGCCAGATACTGTTGTAGGTTTGTAGGTTTGTAGGCTGTAGGTAAGGTTAGGTCAGGTTAGGTTTGTTTTGGTCTATATATCTCCGTCATCCCAATCTTGCATCTTCCTGGGATGCCAGGCTAATACCGTTGTAACTAGGTTGTAGGTTGTAGGCACTAGGTACTGCTGGTTTGTTTTTAGGTTGTGGGTTATAAGCTGTAAGATTGTATGTTAGGTTAGGTCAGGCTAGGTCATGTAAGGTTTGTCTTGGTTTGGTTAGAAAAAAGCACCTCCAGGTATAGTGCCTCTCCTTGGTTGCATTAACAAGTGTAACACCTGCTTTATGACTACCCGTGAATCTTTACTCTGAGTCCATGATGGACTCGGAGCTGGCGCGGGTCGTACGTTCCAGCAGTATCTGGAACTGATCTGCTGCTGATCTGACCATGCAGCCGTCCTCACGAGCTGCATCTCCCTCCCGTGCAGCCTCAGAGTCGGGAAACGAGAGGAGCAGGCCGTAAACGCAGCCCTCGGCCTGCCGCTCCTTAGGGTAACAGCCAAGGTGAATGATCAGCCCCTGAAATTCATTGTGGATACTGGCGCTGGTGTATCCCTGGTTCCACCCTCCTATGTGAATGGAACTATAATCCACCCGTCCGCTGTTTCGATCACGACTGCCAGCGGGCAGCCACTGCGCGTGCATGGCGAGGCCACTCTCGATATTGTCCTCCCCACACTCAGACGCAGTTACACATGGACATTTGTAGTGGCTGAAGTGACAGAGCCACTACTCGGTAACGATTTTCTCGCTCACAACTCGTTGGTTGTCGATTGTGGTTCCCAAGTTCTCCGCGACTCCACCACTCTGCTCTCTGCTCCCGGTGTACCGACGACCGGGGAGTCTGTTCATTTGGTGATAAATGATCTCGCTCAGGTGCCTGAGGCAGTGCGGCCCATCCTCGAGGATCACCCCGCTGTTCTCAGCCCTAACCAGCCGGAGTACACAGACTCGCCAATCAAAACCACTCACTTCATCGACACCGGCAGCGCTCCACCCACGTTCGCCAGCCCACGCAAGCTGCCGCCCGACAAACTAACCGCAGCAAAGCAAGCACTCGATGTGCTGCTCAAAACAGGAGTGATTCGTCCGTCTAGGTCCCCGTGGGCCTCACCCATCCACATGGTTCCGAAGAGTACTCCGGGTGAGTGGCGTGTCACCGGTGATTACCGCGCGCTCAACGCCGTAACCAAACCGTACCGCTACCCACTGCCGCACATTCAGAGCCTCTCAACCAAGCTCCACAACGCTCAGTGGTTCAGCAAAATTGATCTGCTCCGTGCATATCACCAGGTGCCTATGAACCCCGCTGACTCAGAGAAGACGGCCGTCACCACGCCCTTCGGCTTGTACGAATACGCCTTCATTCCAATGGGGCTTCGCAACGCAGGTGCCACATTCCAGAGGGTCATGGACGGCATCTTCCGAGACGTGCCGTGCGTGTTCGTCTATCTTGACGATATTCTGGTATTTTCCGAGAACCAGGAGCAGCATGAGAAAGATTTGCGCCTCGTGTTCAGCAAGCTGGCTGAGCACAAGCTTCGCATCTCACTGGAGAAATGCGAGTTCATGAAGAAGTCACTCATTTTCCTCGGTCATGACGTCACCAGCACAGGTGTCACACCTCCCAAGGCCAGAGTGAAGGAGATTCTGGACCTCCCTCTACCGCATGACTCAGAGTCACTGCGTCGCTATCTGGGACTCATCGGCTTCTACCGGCGTATGATTCCGCGATTCGCCGATGTCACGTTCCACCTGACAGAACTGATTCGACTCAACCCAAAAAGCAAAGAACTGACGTGGACAGAGGAACAGACTCAGGCGTTCAGTGACAGTAAAGCAGCGCTGGCTGGCGCCTGCACTCTGCCACACCCAGTGCCACACTGCGAGCAGTACGAGCTCGTCACTGACGCATCACAAGTCGCGGTGGGTGCCGCGCTCCATCAGATTGTGGACGGAGTACCCGTTCCCATTGGCTTCTTTTCACGGAAGCTCAGTCAGGCCCAACAGAAGTATGCCGCGTATGACAGAGAGCTACTCGCGGCTTATCTGGCCACACTACATTTTCGTGACATGATCGAAGGCCGCCACGTTATCCTGCGAACAGATCACAAGCCACTCGTGCGCGCTTTTCACAGCCCGCACACGGCTAAGTCTGACCGCCAACAGCGCCACTGGTGTGTCGTCACGGAATACATCACGGAGGTCTCGTACATCCGTGGCAGTGACAACGTGGTGGCGGACTGTCTCAGTCGCCCGGTAAATGCAGTGTCCCTCGATGCATGTGACCTCCATTTTATCGCGGCGGCTCAGAAACAGGAAAAGGAGAGAGACACCGAAAGTGCCGATTCAGAGCACCAGGATTCCGAGTCAGGTCCAGGATCGCGCTCAAACCCGCAGGACACCTCCCGATTGGAGCCAGTGACACTGTCTGGTGACATCACAGTCCTGTGTGAAAACACTGGACCACATCCACGCCCGTACGTACCAGAGGCATGCAGGCGCGCTGTGTTTGATCGTTTCCACGGCCTGTCACACCCGGGTAGGAAAGGCACCACCCGTCTCATCAGCGCTCGCTATTTCTGGCATGATATGCGCCGTGACATTGCGCGATGGGTGAAGGAGTGTGAAGCATGCCAGGAAGCCAAGGTGCACAGGCACACTCGTTCTCCGCCCGGTCGGTTTGACGTGCCCTCACAGCGGTTCGAAACTGTACATATAGACATAGTCGGGCCGCTGCCCCCGTCAGTACCTCACGGGCACCCCTTCACCGCGCCATTTCGTTATTTGTTGACATGCATCGATCGCGCCACGCGTTGGGTCGAGGCCGTGCCGTTGGTCTCGATCACCGCGGAAAGTGTAGCCTCTGCTTTCCTCGACACTTGGGTGTCTCGATTCGGAGTTCCGCTGCATGTTGTCACAGACCGCGGTTCCCAATTTGAAGCGGAACTGTTTTCACACTTGTCTTCAATGATAGGTTTCCATCGCCTCCGAACCACTGCTTATCATCCGACATGTAATGGGATGGTGGAAAGAGTCCACCGAACGCTCAAAGCCGCCATCCGGGCGCGCAGGCAAGAGTGGCTGCGCGCGCTACCAGTAGTTTTGCTAGGTATAAGAGCTATGCCAGCAGAGTCGGGTTTTTCGGCATTCACTGCTGTCACAGGCGCGCAGGTGCTGTTTCCCCGCTGCGCCGTCGAGAAGGTCCCCGTCGGGACAAAGTACGTCCAAGAACTGGCAAAGCGTATGTCAGAAATCGATTTCGTCACACTCTCACAGGGCTCGAACCACGCCCGCACACCACCGACGCACGTGCCATCCGATCTCATGACATGCACACACGTGTGGGTACGCGTTGACCGCGTGCGGCACTCTCTGGAGTCCCCGTACCGCGGCCCCATGCGAGTCATCAGACGCAGCCCTAAAGTGTTCACGTTGGAGCTGCCGACTGGCGCCCACGACACTGTAAGCGTCGACAGACTCAAACCGGCACACATGCCGCCACCTGAGGACACGCTTGGTCCGAGCAGTACCGAGCCTACGGCTCCGGAGCAGCAGCCGTCACCGTCGACCTCGCTCGGGCCCCTCGCCACTGGGGCGCCCGACGAGCCGACACAGACGCCGACGACTACAAGACCGTCCGGCAAGAGGACTTCAAAACCTGGAGTGACGTCTTCCGCATCGCCGGCCAAGGACGACAAGCCGTCCGCGGCTGCGCCGGTGCACACCCGCAGCGGCCGCCGCGTGCAGTTCCGGCCGCAACCGGACTTCCGATACTTTTAAGTGCGCCCGCGTACGTGCGTTCGAGGACAATCCTGATCGCGTGGCGCCGACAGTGAAGTGATAACTGCGTCGCGCGGTGTAGTGATTCTTGCGTCGCGCAGGACCGTGCAGTGACGATTGCGTTGCGCCGTACCGTGTAGTGATTATTGCGTCGCGCAGTGAAGTGTCGATCGCGTCGCGCACCGAGTGATGTGAAAAGTGATTGTTTTGGCTTATCGTGTATGCGCTCCGCGCTGAGGCGGTGAGTACTGTGGTAACCACGTGTGTCGCCGGCCGGCACGGGAGTTCCCGGCGCAGACCGATTCGCGCGCCGACTTGTGACGTCGCTACCCCGCCCCGGCGCTGGGGAGGCGGCCCAGGACGTGTCTGTTCGTGAACTTTGTCCCATCACGATGCGACCGCGTGTCTGCGGCCTGCGCTGCCGCAGTGCGTCGGCCAGTGACCAATCCGCGCTCCGATCGGCAGCCACGTGGTGTCCGAGTGCTTCTGCGCATGTCTGGACCCGGCCCGCTGCGTCGGGCCGCGCGCTACCCCGGGACTTCTGGCCGAGCTCTTGGCCCGAGCAGACGCGTCACGTCTGGCTCCGCGATTTGGCCCGTTCTGTCCGGGATTTATAACTTAGATTAGGCAGGGCATATTTGGCAAACTTGGATTTCATTCTCGTCTCTTCGTCGCTCCATTGTCTGATTCGCTGTTTTGGTTTTTGACTTCGTTTTGGTAATTTAAATATAACAACCCGCTCTTGTAATTAATTCTTTTACTTGGGGCCGTTTGGATCGAACTGATTGAATTTTTGGAACACGCACCAGGTTGATATTTTCCATTTCTGATTAACGTAAAACCCAGTCACTGATATGTGGTGAACAGCCCCACAGCACCACAACATACAAACAGCTTGGAGCCGGTTGCCGAACAATCTCCACCGGTGATGTAACACTAATGCTAAGCGACCAGTCCATTGGAAATTGTGGGATGATTCTACCTCTCTTAAATGGCCTTAGTACCCAGTCCCACCGCCCACGGCCACATGGATAAAAAAAAAACTTAACCTTGATAATGCTGAACCCTCAAATACGCTGATTCAGAAGTCAGAACTGACCTTTTCTTAAAAATCTTCCTTTCAGCTATCAGATAGGCTTTATCGATAAACAAGAGTTAAGAATTGATTCGTTAAAGTAAAAAAATCAGTATAATAGGAAAATCATTCATCACTGCACAACCTTCCGCGTCGCTTCACGCCTCAGAAGCAAGCTGATTTGGCCGATTTGGCAAATGCCGATTTGGCATTTTTCCTCTAATTCGGAATATTTTCTCTCCATTGCCAAAAAATCCTCTAAGATTTACTTTCATTGTTTTGCTGTAAAATCATTTTGCGGTGCTTTAGACTTTATTTTATTAAAAATATTTGTAACTAAAGTATCTAATTTGAAAGCATAAAATATGATGAGATTCTATCCTGTTCCAAATATCTTTTTTAGGAAAAATTATCCATCAAACCTAGATTTATGCGAAAATCTATGATTCCATATGACCTTGAAACGAAAAAAGACAAAATACTGCGCACACTTTTCTTGGCGCCGAATGGCTGAGCATGGAATTCTATAGCCTTCGGAAGCATTTCAGTTGGGGAAACTACGAGGCGAATGTCAAAAAATGGATTGGTCAATAAATGGACTTTTGATGACCATATATGGGCATAAATGCAGCCCCCGCTACTAAGGGTGAAAAACGGTATAACAAGCTGGTACTTGCGGTATCGCGTCCACTTATTGGAGAGAAAAGGCTTCCTTTTTTCACTAGGAATTAGCGTGATTTGATTACATTCGGCGAATTGACTCGAAAATGACGATAGGAAAACGGCTTTTCTGCAGGTTCTGGGCGTCACAATCAGCTGGCCATTCAATAAATGGATTGGTTTTATGAAAGAAAATTGTTAAAAGATTTAATTTAGTTACAATAAACAAAGACATTTAATTTTAAAATAATAACTTAACCACACTTAGAAAAACCATAAACAAAATAATAAAAATAATGACATTTTTAAGCCACGGTACTGCTTACATTTTTTGGCGCGTCTGTTTCAATCCGCCATATTTGCTAATCACGGTTTGACCTTGCGTTGTAACTCTGCGATTTAGAGCCGCCAATTAATTATGCACCGGGTGAGTGTAGGCCTTGTGTGGTTAAAAAACATTCTTATGCCTTATTTTTTCATTTGAATGCTAAAATTCATTGAAAAGATGAAGTTGTCTGATTTTATGCCCATATATGGTCATCGCCCCGCCCACTCCAGCCGCTGATTGGCTAATCCAATTTTTGTTTGGCTCCTCGTAGTTTCCCCAACTGATTTGGGAAGCATTGGGATTCGGGAAGTATCAAAGGCATAACAATAAGGAGGCAAGAGGAAGAATAACGGTTAGATGATGGTAAACTAAGCTGCTAGATTTTATGCTGCGTGGGAGCCCCGATAAGTGGTAAGTTTCTTTCTTTTCTTATCCTATGATTGAGGAACATTCTTATTTCTTTCAACCACCTATCTGCATTTGATTCTGATTCTAGAAGGTAGGTAATGCCTCTATATAGGGCCTTGGGTAATGCCCAAGATTCTTACAGATACAGATAGCCAATGCATGGCTCTTGGGTCTATTGATATTGCCCCAAGTAGGCTTGTAGACTCCGAAAAGATCTACAAGCTGCAAACCTTTTTGAGTGTTCAAATTTATTATTATTATTATTATTATTACTTTGTTTATTTCCAATAACCACCAGATGGTGGGCATTACAGGGAAATGTAAATAACACACAAACACACACACACACACACACTATAGGCGAAAATCTCAGTATGTACAGTATTTGAATAAATTATTGAAATTGAGTTCATTTGATGGCTTGATCAAGCTGGCTCCTGACTGGTGTAGGTATGTTTTTTGCCTGCTTTTTTCATGACAAAGTCCAAGGCCTCTATATTGTTAGTGACAATCCACACATCTGTGAATAGCACTATGCAATGCATATTAATTGTTTTGAAAATGCTTTGCACTTTCATACGTATCCCAGTTGTGCTACCAGCTACATAACAGCCCCATCATCTGCTATAGCTTGTGTCCATGTCTGCATACCTTACCTTACTTTCAAGGAGTTCGAGTTAAAGAAGGCCACTTTGCTTGAGGATCCCGCTCTCATCGAGCTGATGAGGATGTACAAGCTGGACTCTTAGGGGAACAATAAGGCTCCAATTCCCATCCCTGTCTGTTCCTAACCGAAGTGAAAATTTTTGTGAATGACAATGGCATAGGGATAGGGCCAGGTTTGTCCTAGCTCAGTCATGAACTTCATGAAGATAATCCCAAATCCCTATCCATTTATTTATTTATTCAGGAGTTTTCAAGAAGGGGTTCCAATGAGTTATGATACAACACTAAATGTAAGAGAGAAAAAAATCATTAAAGACCAAAGTTTTGGTGGACAGGAAACCCATCATCAATGCTAAAGGTGCATTCAGTGATCACTTAGATATGGTTTATAACATCCCAATTGGCCCTGCTAGGTAGGCACCTGGGAAGAATTGACAGGTTAGGCAAATGGGGTAGGTAAATGGGTCTAAACCTTTGGCAGTACCCTCACATTTTCCCAACAGCAATGGTGTTCCACACTCATGCTATTCAATCCCATCTGATTCATATCTCTGTTCATGACAACCATTTTTCTTGACAGCTTTGTAGCAGTTCATGAAAATTAAATGAAAGGTGCTCAACATCTACATCACACCCATGAATTGTAGGGTACCTATCTATCTTCCAGTCTATCTATAAACACTTGTTGCACTTTAAGCAGTAGTTGCAATTTGTTTGGATCTTTTGATCGCAGCAGGCCCTGGGGCCGGATTCTTACGGTAGATGTTGCCCTATGCGATTATGTAAATATGTCGCTGGTGGATTGCTTTGGCCGAAAACACCTCGGTTGGGCCAGGATTACACACAAAGTGTTTGTCAGAAGTGGGATTCGAACCCACGCCTGGAGAACCAGACTGCGACCTGAACGCAGCGCCTTAGACCGCTCGGCCATCCTGACATTATTAGGGATTTGAAAACAGCCTATTATTTTATCGCAGTTATATTTTGAACAGCATGTGTTTCTAGCTCAGCTGTGACGGCTGTACCGCTGCCGCAGCCCCCTCCCGCTGACAGTGACTAATCGAGATCGGCGCGCATGGACCAAGGTCGTAACAGCACCGCGGGCAAGGTCACCCCGGGGCTGGTAACGAGTATCGTCCCGGTACTTTCAGTGACGGACATCCGAGGGACTTTAAATCATCATAGCTAGCTACCATGGTCAAAGGGCATGCCAGCTGAAGCCACATATGTATAAGGCAACACCTGTGCATTTTGTAGATGCCCTAGGTAATCTGTAGCACTCTCTCCCTCTCTCGTCTCGCCGAGAGAAGTGCCGACACTTCAAAGTTCCCGAGTCCCTGAACGAACACTCAAGGTGTCCAAATCTGCAACGTCATCATCGCGACAGAGGCGTCTCCAGGTATCAAAAAATGGGCATGCATAGCGCGTTATACTGTGTCTGAGAGATAATGAAGCTACCTCTGTCTCCTCTCGGCTCTCCCTCTGTCTCAATCAAGCCGCCGCTCACCCCCCCCCCTCGATCGATGACGTCACGGTGTGCGCCCCTGCCGCCAGTATCGGGCCTGGGTGAGAGGCGGCTGGCCCTCCGTCGGCCCAGGAGCGTCGTCTGTCGAGGTCGGCGGGCCGAGTAGAGAGGACAGCGGAGCGGAGTACCGGCCACTGGAGGTAAGAGAGGGGAGAAATTTGGGGCTGTGGCCTGTGGAGCGTTTTGGACACTTTGGTTGTCACTTGTTATCCGGTTCTGCCTGGATGTCGGGAATGGACTAGGCACGATATTACATTGATAATTGTGTCTCGTATTGAATAACGGTGATCCGGCCGTTGAATTTACCGTGATTTAATCGTTGCCATTAAATTTATGCAACCAGCCGTGAATATGACATTCTGTTTTGACATAGATCTGCTGATCTGTCTCATGGGTTCGAACGGAATATTCCCAACCCGGTATCGGCCTTGTCGGTGAATGAATTTAACGAGGCTCAATCCCGATTGATTTGAATTGATTCGATTTAATGTATCCCTATTGAATGCAAAAAGTGGTGAATCATGGAAAAGCGTAAACGGTAGTGGTCTAACATAAATGATTCATTAAAGTTTATTAGTAAGTTGAAGAACTCGCTTCGACGCACGGGCTGTCAAAGTGCCGTTTAATTTAATGATAGCGATGCTTTTTACTGTACCCGATTTAGAAACAGGAACAGCGTATGCTGGGTCAATCGATAAGAATAATGATAATAAAAACGCCGACATACCTGATGCTGTCCGTGGTGCAGGCGGCCGGGGCCCGTTGTATGTTTACCTCGCAGAGCGCACCACTGGGCCAACATGTACCCAGCCCTGTCCCGAGACGGATAGTCGCCTATATTAGCTCAGTAATCTTGGTCGCTAGTGCTTCAGCGTGACAGCGTCGAACGTTGTGTGCTCAACCCACAGAACGCACGCACACGGCTTTCACCGACGGGGCAAAGCGTTCCAGTGTGAGCTTAGTACACTCTCAGAACGCGTTAGGCGACATATTTGCTTACCTACATTCGACAACCCCCCCCCCCCTGCCCCTGCCCCCTCGCTCCGCCTATCGCATGAAGGTACCGACCCGGGCTATCTAACAATGGCATATACCTACCTTCACCTGCACCGGTTTAGCAGTGTTGTGCTTAGTGTGTGAGCAGCGGTGTGTTTCAGTCATGCCGCGCACTACACTTGTTTTGTAGCGTGCAGCTGAGTGCTACCTAGCAACAGGTTTTTATCGCTGCAGGGAGGCTTGGAGCTAGATGCGATAATTGTGACCTGTCTGACCCGGCCGAGACCTTTTGTCCTGTGTGTGACCCAGAGTGACCCATGTGTGTTGTATCAGATGTGTGTATGACCTGTATGACCCGTAACCCACTTGACTGAACTAGTATGGCTCGTGCGGTTTGTGCTACCCATTTAACTAACTTCTTTAACCCTTTACGGTCTGCTATGTGACCCATGTGACCTCATATGACCCCTGATATGATCTCTGTGACCTCATGTGACCCTCTGGATATGATCTCTGTGACCTCACATGACCCCTGATATGATCTCTGTGACCTCACATGACCCTCTGATATGATCTATGTGACCTCACATGACCCTCTGATATGATCTCTGTGACCTCGCGTGACCCCTGACCCTCTGTGACCGGCAGGGGATGCCGGCTGCCGCTGACGTGACGCTCCTACTGTTCGCCAAGGCTCGCGAGCTGGTCGGGTCTCCGCAGGTGTCCGTATCAGTACCGACTGAGTGCAGCGGCGCCGAGCTGCGTGAGCTGCTGGTGCAGACCTACCCTCAGCTGGCTACGCTGCAGGTCAGAATATCAACGGGTCGGATAGGAGATCGAGAGAGGGGGTTAGGACACTGAAGTGTCATAGCCGGAGACCCCGTGTGAAAGAGCCTAGAGGCTCAGAAGCGAAAGAGAGGGCGCGAGAATTGCCTACTCACAATGACTCGCTTAGTCAATGGCGCGAGAATGACTTTCAACCTCGCTTCGTGAAGGAACACGAACGTTTCGTAGATTTATTATGAGGTAGTATACTGTGCAGATTTACTTTTTGCGCCAACTGTCCTCACTCCTCGATAGTATAGTGGTGAGTATCCCCGCCTGTCACGCGGGAGACCGGGGTTCGATTCCCCGTCGGGGAGCTTTTGCGTTTTAGCTATGGTGCACATATTATTTCGGTAATGGCTCGTATTTTTAGAATTCAAAGCACTATGTTGACTGAAGGAGCTATCACCCAGCATACAGCACCATGGGAAAGGGTTTGAGCGGCCAACTGCCATACGAGCTAAACGAGTATGAGGGAGGGAGGTCCTTTTTCACCAGGGAAAAAGATCAGACCAGGATCTCCCTGAACACAGACACTACGAGCCGACTAGTGCCGGGCATTCGTCCCACATACTCTATGGATTTCAGTGCAGTGTGCGACCCAGTGGCAGTGACCAGACATTTGTCACCTATCCGTGCTTCTATCCTCAGGATACTGAAATCCTTCTCCCCAACACCGCAACCCCCCTCCGGGCTGGACAGTGGACAGGCAACTTTATCTCATGCGGGCTGCTCCCTTGGAGCGGCACCGCTGCTCCCGAGGGAGCTGCACCCCGTAGCCGGGTGCAGAGAGTGCTTGGGGGGCTGGTCGGCCTGTCCATTTGGACGGGCTCAGCCCCGGCGACTCTCTAGGGTGCCTGCCCAGACCAATGTCTCCCCCTAATTCCTATCATCCTTCCGGCTCTGCAATGGTCTTGTCGACCGAAAGGGCCTAACCCAACAAAACAAACAAAACAAACAGACATTTGTATAGCTCTGTTTTATTGGTGTCACGAGAGGGCTCATTCTCACGGGAGGACTCAGTTCAGGCAGCCAGGCCCTGGAGCATGATCTTGGCGGCCGTCAGTCACGGCAACCCGGCCCAATACACACATTCACGAATACGGAAAGGTTGCGACGTGCCGTTTGGCGTTTCTTGCTTTTTTTCTTTTTTAGTCTTTTTTTTTTGCCCTGGCAATGTATTGTGAGAGCCGCCGAGTTGCGCAGTACACCGAGGGAGGGGGCGCCACGTTTCCTCGCGGCGTCAACGTAGTTATTATGTTTTGGCAGTGTGGCCAAATTGGTGATGTTGCGGGGAAAGTCACCCCCAATGAAAAGTATAATGACATCCTCAGAAATTTTAAAATTACATCACGACGTTTTTGTCGTGAAAGCATACCTACCCAGTGTAGGAATAAAGACTGAAAATGTTCCAATGTACGATTCGCACCTCGCACCGTCATACTTGTACTGTCGCGCTTGCAATGTCGTTTTTTACATCTTTGATGACAATATTTTTTTTTTTTACTTTCCACCAGAACTTGACGTCAGGTATAGTTTTTTTTCCCCCACATTATCTGTAAAAACTGTACCTAAAATGAGGCTGAAGACGAGTTTTTTGAAAATAGTGACATCCTCGTAAGACTTTTTTATACATCCTACCCCTAACGCTAAACCAATTTGGTCACACTGTGTTTTGGTCCTATACAGGGTGTCCCAAAAGTAAGGTCATCATTTGTTTTGGCCACACTGCCAAAAATACGCGATGGATAGATATAAATAGGACATCATATGAAAGAGCATTTTATAAAATTTTATTCTGACATACATATGAGTCAATACATTGGCTCGTAGCCCCACATTTGCTGCTTTTCTACATGGCTGCCATTTCGGGCCGCGTGCATGAATAGACTACGTTTGACTTCCTCCACTATTCTGGAGCGATTCTCTGGTGAGATGCCGCCTATGTTTGCTCGAAGGGATCATCCTTTAGTTCTTCCCGGCTCGTTGGGTTGTCCTAAAAGACAATCTTTCTGTTGTGTATCCAGAGAATAAAAATATGAAGGTGTAACGTCAGGTGACCGCGGAGGCCATTCAATGGCACGGGATCTCACATCCACTCTCGGAGACAATGCATGATCTTCAGGACGGTGCAAGCATAGTCTCCATCCTGCTGAAACCACTGCTGGCTGATGGTGTCGGCACAGCTGCGTTGCGACGAGCGGAAGAACCACTGGGAGGACTCTCGGCCACCTCTCTTGATTTATTGTCACCCGATTCCCGCTGTCGTCCTCAGGACCTCGAAGCACAGGTGGCTAAGTATACATGCCCTGTGCGTACATTATACCTTTTTTCTGACATTTTACCGGTTGAGGCGAAACTATGCATGAGTTCAGAGATGGGGCGAGCTGATAGGGTCTGCTTAGGGCCGAAAACTGGGCGGCATTTACCCTTTGTTTTAATGACGGACCCTCTCTAAGAGTTGAATTTCGACCTTCTCAGTTTTATGCCTACTGCTCGGTGTAGTTATGATCAAAAATGGTTTAAGCATGCAAGAAAATAATTTTATGGATGTACCTTGCACGTGTTAAAATTGGAAGTGATTCGGACTCTTGCTTCTCGAGATATTTAAGTTTTAAATCATGACCTTACTTTTGGGACACCCGGTTACTTTTGGTTATGATGATGTTATGCATAAGCGGCGCAGGTGTACTGTTTTTGTGTTTCCTTCTGCCTGGGTTTCTGGGTTCCTGGGTTCGTCGCCGCCGCATCGTTCTGTCGAGTATCCCATTTCACGCAGTATCACGTCACATCCAAATATCACGTATGATGCTACAGTTTCTAAACCTCTTGTCACGTCACATACCTATTATCTAACCCGCTTCATGTTACGTATTCAGTATCGCATCACACTACCTTGGTCAAATACAGGCTACATTTCTGGTGGCACACTACGCGTGCTACAGATCTCGACGTCCACTTCCCAAAGCTCATAGCCTCAGGCCTGTATTGGTTAGTGTGTAACCTCTCGTGCTCGCCGACAGGGCACGTTCATTTTGGCGGTGAACCAGAGGTACCTGGAGGCCGACGAGTCGGTGACGATTCGACGCGGCGACGAGGTGGCCGTCATACCGCCCATCAGCGGAGGTGAGTCCTGGTCTCCGGGGTCCGTGGTCGGTGATCCGTGGTCCTGGGTCCGTGTTTTCGGTTCGAGGGGCCGAGGGGGAGGGGATGGGGTACCCTCTGCTACAGTCCAGTTCAGGAACGAGACAGTTGCAGGGCTCTGTGCTCAGAGCTGACTGCGAGGGGAGCTTGGGCAAGCTTAGTTTATTTTAGAGTTGATTGGTTGGTAAAAGATGTGTGGGGAGGGGGACGGGGGGTCAGTATTGTATCTACAAAACTTGCCCCAGACTTTTTCCGAAATTGTGTCTCTGTGCATGTCTGCGGTCAGGATGGCCGAGCGGTGTAGGGTCGCAGTTTGGTTCTCCAGGCGTGGGCTGGAATCCCACTTCTGACGAATGTTGGGCTTTTTGCAGTCTGCTAAGCGAGCGGAAATTTGATTTCAAAGACTGGGACATGTTGCATTGTGATTACGTAGATAGGAACGCTAGTAATTCGAAGTCTAAGGAGTTCTTCATAAAGAACACTGCCTTGTGATTTTTCAGTGCTTCGCCGTCCATAAATTGTAACTAGGGTCATGGATAATATGATTCAAGCCATGTGATCTATGCTAGGGTTTATGGGATTGTCGCCACTCGAACATCGCTGGACTAGCGACTCGCAGTGCCTATTCGGAAGCGTCCGATCAAATGAAAGCTTGTAGCCACAGGACTCCCTTGCAGAAAAATAAAATCAGCGAAGTAGGAAAGCAGAGACTGATAAGTGGGAATTGGAAAGAAACATTAAAGGAAATAGTTCACTTTCACGAAATTATTTTTTTTTGCAATGGATTTGTGATTTTTTATGTTCAAAATGATCAGCAAAGAAAATAAAACCTTTTTACAACAAAAGATTATTTTCTATATTTTTGATATAGGAAGAACTTTTCAGTTTCTGTAAGGCACACGCGATCCAGTATGAAAAGAGCATGGGCATAGCATGGGTCCCGAAAATTCTTCAGAAACTGAAAATTATCGCGGCCACCGGCATTTGGGCGATCTGCTCATAGAGATCTTATATACATAGAGATGACATGCACTTAAAACCGTGGCGATTCAGTGGGTCTTTTTAAGCAACTTATTTTCAGCCAGTAGCGTGCCAATATGGCTGAGGCATTGTTAGTCTGAAGAAATTATTACGTAGCGAGCGAAGGAAGCGTAGTCTTTCGTAGATTAACGAAAATTTCTGAGTATGAGCGGCCGGCCGGCCGTGGTTACGCTTTTGCGAGGCTTATATCTCAGCAACCACTTGACCGATTTACATTCGATGATTTTTCTAGGGTAGCTTCATTCCTTCTACCAAGTATTGGACTATTCTCGATGCATGTGGGTGACCGCTTATGCACGTGCCACGTGCAAAACGAAGAGGTGTCAGTTTTGCAATTGTTGCAATATCTTGGTAACTACTTGGCCGATTGCGCTGAAAGTTGGTATGTAGGTAGGCACCCACTAGGCAATGCATATCCATGTGCCACAGTTGGGGTGCTGCTGCACGTGCGCACGTGCAGGGGTCGATTCCAGATCTCGAGAACGGCTGAACCGATTGTGCTGAAATTTGGTACATGGTTAGGGACCAGTTAGTAGGGTGCCGTGCAAATGACCCATTTTGCACGTGTGCACGTGCAGCTTCCAGATCTCGAGAACGGCTAGGCCGATTGCGCTCAAATTTGGCACATCGCTAGGGACCGGTTAGTAGGGTGCAGTGCACAAGTTAGTTGGAGGTGTCCCTTGCAAATTCGCTTGTCCAAGGCCCACCCTCTTGCTCGCTCCGTTGGTCGCCCCAAAAGGCGTTTTACTGGTTAAAAATGTTGCTGATCTTTCCTGGCTGATTTCATTCCTGAGGTAAGCAATGAAATTTGTAGCATGATTTCATTTTGTGTTTTTATTGAATTCCTTAAAAGCTCGCCTAAAAGCATTCTCTCTCATTCAGGCTCTCATCAACCCGGCAGGCGGTGGACCTCCCGGCCACCTTCCGCGCGGTGGGGGGGGGGGGGCATTTTTTTGCCCCCCTCCCGTATCTCCGAAACTACTGGACGGATCCGTAACATTCAAACGATGTTCGATAGCCCTGTCAAATTTGTCGATGGAACTCCAATTTCATTGACCTCGGGGTCACCGATGACGTCACAGGGCAGGTCAAAGATAAAATGTTTCACGTACGTCAAAAATAGGGCGTACGTTGCCTAGTATATATGTTGCTATTAGAGGTCACTGATAATACCATGTCAGGTCACAGGTCAGGTCACCAAGGGTCAGCACATGAACCAACTTTACTCTTTACTAGGGTTGTGCGATGCATGTTTTATGGCCCCCCTGACATGGTCCCCCCAAAAAAAGGTTACAGGTCTAAGGTCATTTGGGTCAGGCTCATGGAATTTTCAGGGTAGGTTCCTTGAGATTTGGTCAAGTTTGGCGCTTTCGGTCAACCGTCGTGAAAACGGCTGTTCTGAACCTTTCTGAGCACGGTGCAAGCTCAAATATACATATGTTGCATGTTCCCATTCAATTCGCCGGACCTATTGGTTTTCTACATACGCGCCGGCTGGGGGGGGGGGGGTTGGTTGGTACGATTTCCCTCGCCGTTTCGCCCCCCCCCCCCTGATGAAGCTAGAGCGTCGCGGAAAAAACAAGCGTGAGCGCCGTTACAAGACGCAGGTACTGGTACCCGATTTTAAGGTCTCTTGAGGTCAGGTCAAGTGACCAAGGGCCAGGGTTCAGTTTTCATAACTTCGCAAAAAAAACGGTCGGAGTGCCGCGATTTTGGCATCATCGTGTTCGCCTCGCTCAGGCGCGTCGAATGGTATACTTTTTGTTCGGGTGAGGTCAACTTGAGGTGTTGACCTCGGGTCAAGGGCAGGTCAGCTCCCCCAGATCACGAAGCTGGTTGACAGAGGTCATGTTACATATTACTCGAATCGGCAGGTCTTCCTGAGTTTATTGGTGGATTTCCCGACTCGCTAACTCAATTTGATGGGGAGTTATTGATGAAAAACTCTAATGACCCAAGTATATAACTGCAATGAAAACCGTAAGCCTCATGCTAATAATTATATTAAAAATAGGGCCAAGAAAATAAGACATGCTGGGCAAACTGACAAACTGACTTTTGTCAAACCGTCTTACGGTTTTCATTGCAGTTATATATGTAATCATGAGCCTCAAAACCGCGCTTTCTTTAACAATGACCCAAGTGACCATAAATGACGCCACGCAATGTCAACAATGCAAAAGTGAAGCATCGGACCTTGCAAGGCGTGAAAGAAATCACGATTCCATGTGCTGGAGACAGTTTGAGATAGTTCTCGGCGCTAAAATAGCAGTTTTCATTTTTCCCCATTGACCTATACCTAATGGTGAGGTCACATGGCCGACCTGACCTCATGTGATTTTTAGGGAAAATCCGAGATATATGTACAAGTTGTGAGACCTCTGGATGATACTACATCCTGTATGTAAGTTTCATCTCCCTGTGAAAGTTCCTCTGGCACTGACGGCGTTGCGAAGTTGCGACATCTGAGGACTGTGCAGAGGTTCACATATGACGTCACAGGTCAGTGACCTGACCTGACCTGAAAATGCGGTTGGTGTCACAAGATGCGACTTGGATCAAAGGTCAGCTATGCCAAGTTTCAGCTCTCTATCGCCTGCGTGTTCGGAGCTATCGTGAAAAAACCCTATAGGGAGGCGGCACCCCCCCCCCCCCCTGTCGGACGGCGAGGGTTAATGATCCATGCAGTACCTGATACGAGCATAAGGTTAAAACATGCCTAATTTCATTTCAATAATAACACTCGAAAGCGTCACAGCTAGACAAAAAAGAAAAACTGTACTTACAAATAAGCTGATGTGAACACAATCTCCTTGACCGAATCCTTACAAAATGCAAGTCACGGGCCATGGCACCCCAGAAAACCTTGCTTAAAAAGACCCACTGAATCGCCACGAAATCAAGTGCTTTAACATAGGCGTGTCATCTCTATGTATATAAGATCTCTATGGATCTGCTCGTGCTTTTGTTACTGGAGCGCCTCACTGGAGCGAATTTCTCTAGAGTTCTCGTAGATAATTTCTCTAGTTTCTGAAGAATTTTCGGGACCCATGCTCGTTTCATACTGGATGCGAATATATGCAAGGCACACATCCTCAACGCAAGACACATTTTTCGGGACGAGAAATAGAATATCTTTGCCTAGGGTGATCGTTGGGCTGTAAAAGCTCCTGATTTATGCTCGTCTCAGCCCAAGCTACGGAACTGCTATTCCAGTTCAAAACCCATGTTAAAATGTGAACTATTTCCTTTAACTTCATCGGTGTTTGGCACAGCACAATTATAGTGAAACATCCTCGTCTTGCTTGTGATACACTATTACCTATATGTGGCTTCAAAACTGCGGGCCCTGTTCAAGTGTCTGCGGCCGCCACGGGCGGCTCCCGCGGCCAAAAAGGCTGGCGACCAATCAGTCGAGAGCAGCATTCTGGGTATCATGTAACACGTCTTCCTGCTGGTTCCGCGGCTGCTCGGGAGCGACCGCAGGGAACGGTTTCATGCGGCACAGCATGAAACAGGCGTTTGTTAGTAGTGACATCTATGAACGGGAATAAGAACGAAACCGTGTGATGCGGCACAGCATGAAACAGGCGTGTGTCAGTAGAGACATCTAGGGGCGGGAATTCGAACTACCATACCATGCTGTGCGGTACAGCATGGAGCAGGCGTTCGTCAGTAGGGACATCTATTGACGAGAATAAGAACTAAACCGTGTCGTGCGGCACAGCATGAAACATGTGTTCATCAGCAGGGACATCTATTGACGAGAATAAGAACCAAACCGTGTCGTGCGGCACAGCATGAAACAGGCGTTCGTCAGTAGGGACATCTATCGACGAGAATAAGAACTAAACCGTGTGATGCGGTACGGCGTGAAACAGGCGCTTGTCTGTAGTGACATCTATGGACGGGAATAAGAACTAACTCGTGTAATACAGCAC